AAGAAGCGGGAGAGTGAGGAGTCCGGAGAGAGCCTGATTACAGTGTTAGGAGAGAGCAGATGCTTTGGAGGCCTCTACAGAAAGGGCTTCACCTTCAGAGTGCTTGACGGGGAGGCTGGCCGTATCAGTGAGCCCTTACTGTGCTGTCTCCAAGGTCTTACCTCCTATCCCGGCCATATTCCCAAAAGAACTGGGGCTTTGGGGTCAGAAAGACTTTGGCCCTTACCTTGAACAAGTCATTTTACCTCTCTGAGCCTCAGTTTCCTCGTCTGTAAAGTGGAATTAATAGCAACACTTACTTCTCAGGGGTGTTGTAAGAATGCAATTGTGCCTTCATGCCAATTCCTGGTGCATTATAAGGTCTTAATCAATACAGCTGTAATTCTGTCTGATTGACCCTGATTGGGTCAGTGTCAATGCCGAGTGATAGACATGGGGCTTACTACCATCTTACATTTATTTTTGAAATTATTACAATAAAAGGTGTTTATAAAAACCTCTGCTCATATAATTTTCCACAATTGCTGCTATGATGCACGCTCCTTCGGGAAGTGCCCTCATTCATTAGAGTGCAACAGAAACAGAGACTGGAACATTCCTCCCAAGCCCCCCATTTCCACCTGCCAGCTCTATCTCCCCAGCAAGCGGAGGGGCCCTGTGCTGCACCCCAGTCCATTTTTATTCTAGGAGATGCCAGTGCCAACATCAGAGCCTCAAAATCAGGCATAAGAAGGAAATACTGAAACTTTCATTTTATTTATTTTTAATCTAAAAAGGAGAGAAAGCCCAGCATCACTAATAGTTAAAATATGGATTGGAACTGTGCAGTCCGACAGTTAAAGTGCATAGTCTTGCTGTGACTCATGAAAGAACAGATTTTCTTGCCTAAGATTCTGGGAAAATGGCAAGTTGGAGGGAAACACATGAACGGACCCTCGTTTCTTTTTATTCCCGTGAGAGGACACCAGTCTGCAAATGTGGTTAGCCAGCTGGAATATAGATACTGACTCGGACGTGCAGATCCTCTGATGAATATAAATATAAAAAAGATAGGATTTTTTAAGGTATGGATTGACAGGCTACATAAATGATTCATCAGCCAAAGACATGCTGGGTGTGAGTGCTGAAAAGTGTTTGTCCAATAGAATTGGTGAGCTGCGGAGCAACTGGTCACCACAATGCACAATGTGGTCCCTCCGTGAGGTCACCAGGCTTAATGCAGAGGGAGCCCTGGATGTTTGTCCTGGCTGCCCAGCACAGCCATCTGCTCACACAGATAAGAGGAAAACGCAGCAGAGGCATAACTTCTCTCCGACTCTCTGGGCCAGGTGTGTACCTCATGCACTCAGGCGGTCCTGAAAACAAGTGGTCACATAGACGCAGACCACTGGAATGAAGAAAGGGCCCTTTGCCCACAGGGAGCAGCCATGCTCACCTCAGCAAAACCCTCTGCACCTGCAAGGAGTCCCCTCCCCATCCCGAGAGGACAAAGGGAGAGCTGCTACAGGAGGTGATCCGTGAGCCTCAGGAAAAGGGGTTGCTGGTGGAGAGAGATGGGTCCAAATGCTTCATTTGCAGTTTGTGACTTAAGGGTCCTGCTGGGTCATTAACTCTGACCCCAAGGCCAGGATATTCAGCCGAATGCATCAGGAGTGAGGGCTCTCTGGGAGCGTCCTGGGCCAAGGATCCAGGCTGGTTCCTGTCCTCTGGCCCTGCAGAGCATGCTGAGATCCCAAGAGGAAGGCGAGAAGTCTGCCCCACCTGCCTGCTCTCCTCTCCAAGACTCAGGAATTCTGGGAGGTGGATGTACCCCATCTGTGCAGTCAGGCACGCCCCAGGCCTGGAGGTCTGAGTTCAAGTCCAGGCTCAGCCTTTTATAAGCTTTGTAAACTGAACCTTTCTGAGCCCTGATTTCCCCACCTCCCCCAGGGCCAGAAAAATACCTTTGCTACTTCCCTCAGCATGCCAGCACGGTAATCCCAACCTAAGAACACAGAGAACATGGACCTGAAAGCAATTAGGAAATTTAAACAACCCTGTATAAGTAGGATTGACAATAATTGCTTACTCAACTAGAGGCAAGAACGACAAATATCTGGGGCAAAGGGTTGCTTGCATTCCACTTGCACTCCAAGGATGATGGCAAGCAAACGTGGCAAGGATGGGAGGCCTGCCCCCCCACCCCGCCTCTTCCCAGGGAGTCCTCCAGAAAGATCATGGGAGCATGACCCTCGGGGCCATGAGGGGCCTGCCTGGGCCATGCAGAGAGTGCAGACAAAAAGAGGCTGCTCCTGACCTGGCCCTGCTGCCCGCTGCCGCCACCTCATCAATCTATCTCCTCTTAGCCGCTGACAGCACCTCCCGGCAGCCTGGGCATTAGAATTGCAAGGAGCCCGGTTGCACTGGGGAATACCGATGGAGGAATCTCAGATTCAAATGTGTCTAAGTTTTATGAACAGCCAGATCCGGGCAAGGCGTTCCCACTGCCCTTCCACCAAAGGGGGGTGGTAAGGGTTTTGTTAGAAGTACAAATTGCTTCTTAATGCAGAGGATGAAGCTGGGTGCAGGCACCTCCTTAGAAATTCCTCCCACTCCCTCCAGGGAAAGCCGCTGCTGCATGTCAATTTTAATTTTTGAAATTTAAACCGAGGGCTTTGTGTCTAAGCTCCATCTCATCAGAGAAGGGGACAAATAAGTCAAAAAGAATTAGGGCCCCGCTGGGGATTGCAGATCCATAGCAATTAGACTTCATTTGGGTCTCAGACATTTGGTTTTAATCGCATTTCTAAATGATACAAGGCATCAGAAATGTATCCTATGCAACTGTAGATGGGGCCCGACTCTGCCCACCCCGGTTCCTGGGCTCAGCTGGGCTTGGGCTCCCCAGTCAGCAGGGCTGGGGTTCAGTTTCAGTTGGGAACTGGCGAATGGTGATAGTTTGTTTTCTGCCTTGCTGTCTTTCCGAACTTTATCTCTGGATTCAAAGCAGATGCAACCATTGCTAATACTCAAGTTGATGACAATAAAACATTATTCAAGTAAAATAAGAGCATCAAGAGGAATAGCCACAGCAATGGGACTTGAAGCAGGGGTATAATTGTCTTTAAAGAGGAATCACAGCTTTTAGCATCCTCCAGGAACTAAAGTTCAGCCCAATGTGATTTGGGAGCAGACATACAGCCATGAACATTGTCCTATGAATACATGTATGTGTGCACATGTGTAACATGGACTAGTGATGACAACCACACTATATCCACATGGGGTGTGTGTCTGTGTGTGTGCCTCCAGCTTTACATAGTACGCACACTCTGAGATTGCCTCCGTGTGCACACATTTCTATTCAAACAACTGGTCAAAATGAACTCAGTACTAACAGGTTGTTAACTGGTTATTTTGTAGATAATTTATTATTTATTGGAATTCAACAATCTAAAAACAAAACAAAAAGTAAATTTAAAAAATCAAAGCCGTGCTGGCTGTTTCCCTCGCTGTGTGTGTGTGATGGGGTGGGAAGTGCTGAGAGGAGACCACACACAATGGGGCTCAGATGAGGTGCCAGGGCACCATGCAAGTGGGAAGGGAAGATTCCAGAAAGGGTTCCCTCCCCCAGGGGTAACGTATATCTCTTCCCACACAGTTCTGGGTGAATTCTGGGAGCTGGATGACTCCCAGATTGCCTCAGTTTACCTGCTCTTCTAAAAGCCGTGACCCTAGCCCACTGGTCTGCAAACTCATTAGTCAACAGAGCCAAATATCACCAGTACAACGATTGAAATTTCTTTTGAGAGCCAATTTTTTAAAACTTAAACTTCTTCTAATGCCACTTCTTCAAAATAGACTCGCCCAGGCCGTGGTGTTTTATGGAAGAGCCACACTCAAGGGGCCAAAGAGCTGCATGTGGCTCTTGAGCTGCAGTTTGCAACCAGGGCCCTAGCCAGTGGAGTGGGCAAATGGACAGGTGCTGAGTACTTTATGCCTGGGTGGGTGGGTTTCTGGGCGGGGGAGGAGGGAGAAGAGGACTTTTTACTTCTTTGTAGGGACAAACATCTCAGAGACCACCTGTTGGCAAGTGCGTCCTCCCTGCCTCCCATTTGCCTCCCCGACCCCTTCCTTCTCCGGAAACTCCTGCTCTTTGACCTCCTCCCATAAGGCTGCGAACTTGGAGACTCAGCCACTCCTCTCCCATCTGCCTCTAATTCTCTCTCCCCACCTCCTCGGGCCCCTCCAGTTCAGGAAGGCAACCCTGGGGAGAAATACCATCTCCCCAAGGGTGGGCGCTCTATCTTCTCTCCCACATCTTGTCTCCCATCTCGGTGGAGCGGACAGGGCAGTGGCTGACAAGCAGGCATAGATGGGGCTATTCCGGGCCCAGGTAATGTCTTCATGTCAAAGTGGATATCTGGAGGCCTGGTCTGGGGGCCGCCCTGACAAAAACATCGGAGCCCGTGGTCTAGAAACATAATTTAATGCATCACAGCGGGTCTGAGTCAGGCCTTTGCGGAGAGGCGGATTTCCGTTGGCTGGGATTCTGCGCGGTGGGGTTTTGACTGATGGACAGGGGGATTGGCAGGAGCATTGGACTCCCCAGAGAGCTCATGCGCGCTTTGGCCTATCTCACTGGCCAGGGTGGGAATGCTCGGCCCCTGGGCACTGGGAGAAGGAGGGAGACTGAAAGAGGGCAGTTCCGCCCAGCCTGTCCAGTCCAATCAGGTTTGCAAACTGTGCTGCCACCGCCACCGCTGTTGTCCACGCCTTTGGGGTTCAGGCTCAGGCTCCTCTCACCACACTGGAGTGGCCCTCTCCCTCCCCAGATGGGGGCCCAAGGCCAGGGGCATTGCCCAGAGCATAGTGAGCTGCAGACACACTGGGGATGGGGGCGGGGCAGGGAGGACAGCGGGAACGTGTCTTTTCTGACATGTCAAGAAGCGTCAGGAAGCGTGAGGGGTCCTCGCCAGGGAACAGGCTGCGGGAAGCTCCCAAGCCCAGCTCCAGGCGCCCTAGTCCGGGTAGAGGAGGAAGCCGGAAAAGGTGCTGTACTTGTTGTTGTTGCCTCCGTGCGCCTTGCCGCCGTCCAGCTTCACGTACACCTCGTCCCCCGCCTCCAGGTGCAGCACCACGCTGTTGCTGGCGTAGTCGTAGTTCTGGTCCGCGTCCTGCGCGATGGCGCTGGCCCGGACCTGGAGGCGAGCCGCAGAGCTGAGGGTCGAGTCGGGGCAGTCTGCCCAGGCCCTTCCCGGCCCCCACCCGGGGCCCCTGATCGGCCTTCTGCCCGAGGCTCCTGCTCCGGAGTCCACGCTCCCACCCAGGCTCCACCTTCTCTCTGCAACTGAACCCATTCCCTCCCGGCCCCTCTCCGCAGCCCGCGCGTCCGGGAGAGAGGAAAGATGGGACTTCCTGATCCCCGGCCACGCGAGAAAGGGCGGGAGCCAGGGCCGGCAGCAGAGGGAAGGAGAGCGAGGGGCGAGCGCCTGCCCGGGGGCAGCTGGAGAAGGAAGGGGCTCCCCGGAGCCCGGGGGCTGCAGGCAGGGCGAGCACCTCGCCGGGGAGTGCGGTTCGGTGGCGGGGTCCGGGCTCTCCCGGCACAATCTCCAGGTTACCCGGGGATAAACGCCACCGGGAGCTTTGGGGAGCGGGGTCCGGGCGCGCTCGCCCGCCGGCGGGGAGAAAGGGACTGGCTCCCGGGCAGTAGGGGCGGGGGTCTGGGGCTGCGGGGTGGGTCACTGACCTGGCCGTTCTTGCAGAGGTCCGCCCACATGCTGGTGCCGTCGCCGCCGCGCATGAGGATGTGGTAGGTGAAGAAGTAGATGCCGCGCACCTGGCAGCTGAACTTGCCGCTGGCGGGGTCGTAGTGGTTGCCGAGGTTGGTGACCACGTCGTCGAACTTGAGCACCTCGTAGCCCTCGTGGGGGCTCTTGAGGCCCACGTAGAAGGCGATCTTGGGGCCGCTGAAGGCGGCACTGAGCGCGCCGGTCACTTCGCCTTCGGGGTCGCCGCCACCGCCGCCCCGGGTCCCGCCGCCCACCGTCCCGTCCCCTCCGGCCGCCCCCGCCGCCGTCAGCTGCAGCCCCGGCAGCCCGGGACGCCCGGGGTCGCCCTTCTCCCCCGGGGGACCCCTGGGTCCAGGCGGGCCCGGCTCTCCGGGGGGTCCCCGCGGCCCCGGCTTGCCCGGCCGCCCCGGGTCGCCCTTGGGTCCCTGGACGAAAGGGGGCGGCGGGTTGGCGCTCAGGTCTTGCATGACCTCCAGGGCGGCGGTGCTGGGTCCGGGCGGCGGCGCCTGGGCGCCCGCGGGCCCTCCGTCGGGGGCCGCGCGGTACGGGTCGCAGATCATGCGGCAGGTGCCCATCATCTCGTAGTGCGCGGCGCCGGGCGCGGCCGCCTGCAGCAGCAGCAGAGGCACCGCGATCAGCAGCCCCAGCGCCATGGCCAGGAGCACGCCGACGGCCGCCAGGCAGGCGCGGCGCCGCCGCTGCCACCGCGGGGGAGCGGCCGCCACCAGCTCCTCCTTGCCCCCCGAGGAGGTAATGGTGGGGCGGCGCGGGCGGCCCCGCTCCCCCAACTCGGGGGCCGACTCCACGGGTCCCGGCCGCACCACCGACGACGTGGCGACCCCCGCTCCGGGCGCCCCGCGACTTCAGGGAGAGGCGCCCCGGCACCGGCGTCGGCGCTCAGGGAGCGCGGGCTGCTCCGGAGCGAGAGGCGCGGAGCCCGGCGCGCATGGCGGGGCCCCGGACCGGCCGGGCGACCCCGGGTCCGCAGGTGGCTCGGAGCGCGGGCGGGAGCGGCTTCCGGCGCGGAGCGGCGGCTCTGCCCGGCTGGGCGCGGGGCTCGGCGGGTGGCTCGCAGGTGGGGCGCCCGGCTCTGCGGTGCGCTCGCTCGGCGCGCTCTCCGGCTGCGGGCTCCGCGCGGAGGGGGCCCGGCTGCCCTGACGTCAGGAGCCCGGGCTGAGCGGCGGCGGCGGGGCAGCGCGCGCTGCCATCACTGGGGAGACGGCGCCCTCATAGCATCAGCCTCCTGTCCTTCTCCCTTTCCTTTCGCGCTGAGTCCCCGGCAGAGGCGGCGGAGGCTCCGCTCTTCCCAGAGGCGCCCGGGAGCCACAAGTGGGCGCAGCGGGCGCATCCGGGAGCCGGCGCCTCAGACACACCCATCCGAGGCCACTCGCGCGCCGCCCACCAGCCACTCACCGACACTCAGGGGCGCACTCATGAGCGCACAGGCAGCTCCACATGGCCACGAAGGAGCCCAGAATCCTGATGCCAGCCAGCGAGGTCCTCCGAGAATCACTGAATCCATCGCCCTGCCTGCAAGCAGGACCAAACCTCAGCCCACCTAGGACAGCCTTAGTCCGGGAAGCCCTGCGGCCAGGACTCCTGAACCACCCCCACCCCCCACCCCTCCCCAGCTACTTCTCCAGGAAAGAGTAAGCCTCACTTTTAAGAGTCCCTTCACGCCTAGCTGAGGACTCCAAGCTGTTACAGCTCCAAACTTTTTTAATGATTCTTTTTAGCCCACAGGCCAAATACAGGCGTCTATTAGCCTCAGCCCCGCTCTTCGGCCAGAAAAACGCCTGGGCCTTGTCCTCTATATAAAGCCCATTTAGAGATGCAAATGGACACTCAGCGCTTGGCGTGACCTGGGTGCACTCTGCTCCCACGCCCGGCTAGCGGGCCAGCCCGACCCTCAGACAGGCGCCTGGACATCCCACGCACCCTCTTGGTGAGGTGGGCGTGGTTAGTTTACAAAACACTCCAGCGGCCAGCCAGGTGCTTAGTTGATCAGAGCATCCCCCAGGTAGGCCAAAGTTGCTGATTTGATCCATCCCCGGTCAGGGCACAAACAAGAATCAACCACTGAATGCATAAATGTGTGGGACAACAATTCTCTCTCTCTCTCTCTCTCTCTCTCTCTCTCTCTCTCTCTCATCAATAAAATAAAAACTTTGAAAACACTCCAAAGCCATTCTGAGCTAAAATCTTAAATAAGCTGTGCCGCCAGATTTGGAGACTTCTCCAACTCCAGTGCAGCTGGGAGGATAAAGGGAGGAAGTGAGTGTTCCTGTGTAACCGGAAGACTTCGGGCTCAGAAATGAAAAGCTCTGCCCTCTGCTTCTGCTCTTGCCCCCGCAGCTCCGTGACTTGGGCAGGTCTCCTGCCCCAGCCTGCGATGTGCAGCGTGCACTGCCCCCCCCCCTGCAGAAGACCCCCCCTCTCCCCCAGCACCCCTCCCCCCATCCTGCCCCTTGGTGCTATCAATGTGGGACACAGCATTGGCAACTCTGAACTGACTGGCGCCCTCCTGAGGCTATTGTTTCAAGAGAAAAATTTCAAGTGTCCTGTTCTCCTGGGTTTCTTAAAAATCCATTTTGTTTCTTCCTGGTTACTCTGAGCCATTTCCCCACCCCACCCCACCCCACCTCAAGTCGCTCCTGCCTCTTCCTTCATTGATGTATTTCCCAGGGATTAACAGAAGATCTGGCACCCCATAGGCCCTCAGTACACATTTATAGAAAAGATAATTAAACAGAGCTTGAAGCAAACTTGACTCAGGAAAGAAGGGGTCAAGGAACTCATTTATTAGGCACCTACTATGATGCTCAGGTACTTTGTACATGCTCCTCCACTCATTCCTCTTTATGGATTTGCAATTGTTCTCCTATTATACAGACGAGAAAACAAAGGCTCTGAAAATGTAAGATGCTTGCCAGTGACCTCCACCTATATGACAGAGCCAGACTCCTTCTCACAACCAGTCCAGGGGCTCTGAGGCTCTGGCAGTGAATGCAGCATCGCAGCTAGTTCCTGGCCATTGGTTTTGTGAGTCCTGGTAGCACTCCTTTCCTTTCCCTTCCCTCCCATTTCTTCCCCTCCCATTTCTTCCCCTCCCTTTCCTTCCCCTTCCCTTCCCTTCCCTTCCCTTCCCTTCCCTTCCCTTCCCTTCCCTTCCCTTCCCTTCCCTTCCCTTCCCTTCCCTTCCCTTCCCTTCCCTTCCCTTCCCTTCCCTTCCCTTCCCTTCCCTTCCCTCTCTGGGGCCACACCTGGAACTAGTGAGCTCCAGGAGCCACACTTTCAGGTTCCAATCCGAGTTCTGCAGCCTTGCATCTGTGAGACCTTGGGCAAATTGCTTCATCTCTCTGAGCCTCAGTCTCCATGTGTGTAGAATGGGGATGACAAAAGTACCTACTCTCAAGTTGTTTAGAGATTAAGTGAGTTAATTAAAGGCCTAGAACTCTAGTTGGCTCAGTAAAGGTTAGCTATTATTATGAACATTGATACTTTAGACCTCCACCATCATGCTTAAGAGCACAAAGATGAGCCATGTGGGCAGGAAGTAGGATGGGAGGGATGAGTTTATTGTTTGTACAAGAGAGAGACACAAAGATCACCCCCATGCTCTATCTTTTTCTAAAACCGACAAGAGGGGCCATACGGTCCTTCCCATTCCTCTCAGGCTGCCTTGCTCTGGCTCCTGCCATTTATCAAGGCTGTCCAGAGTGCCTCTGGTCCCCAGCTTGCCCTGGACAGGCATTCTCAGGCAGACACACTCTGAATTGCTCAGCCCTGCAGCCCATTATCCCCAAATCCCAGACTTCTTGTCCCTGCAGAATCAGGGCAGGGAAGAAGCAAGGAGGGGCAAATGTGTGAGACCCAGGTTTGCCCCCTCGCAGACCTCAGCCCTGGAGCACCCACAGCCCTGCAGGCAGGAGGCCTCCCCAAGGCCAGTCCTCCACCAAGGGCCAGGGCAGCAGCAGCTAGAGAAGACAACGCAGGCAGCCTCCCATCCAGCCACATCAGTCAGGGGTCCTTCCCCTGCCCACCCACCCTTCCTCCCACGGTGATGGAGCCAGACAGAGTGCCCTGCTGGCATGCTTGACACCTCCTCATCCCCCTGGCTTCTGCTCTCCCACGAGTGATCCACATCATCAGTGACTGTCTTCTCATTAATATTAATTATGATCTTTATTAGCATATAGCCTTCCATGATGGCCATAGTTTTATATTCCAGGCCTAATAATGACTCAAATCTGCCCAAAATTGCCCTTAGTATTCCAGCCTGCATTTCACCCACCAACAACCACTGATGCTCAGTCACCTGCACCTTCTCACCCCTCAGAGCTCTGTGGTCTGTGACATACAGTTTGACACTTTATCACACGCTGGTTTGTTCAGTGCTCTTCAGCCTGGGATGCCTGTCTCTGCTCATCCCTCTAGACTCATCCTTAATTTTCCTTCAAGTCCCAGCAAAGTGTCACATTCTTGTCCAAAGTCTTCCCTGAACCCTCCTCAAGAAGAGTTGACAATTCCTGAAGGTAAAGAGCACCTTAAAAGGCCCTGGCCGGGTGGCTCAGTCAGTTGAAGCATCATCCCATACTCCAAGAAAGGCTGCAGGTTTGATTCCCAGTCAGGACACATACATAGGTTGTGGGTTCAATTCCCAGTCAGGACACGTGTGGGAGGGAACCGACCCATGTTTCTCTCTCACATCAATGTTCCTCTCTCTCTCTCTCTCTCTCTCTCTCTCTCTCTCTCTCTCTCTCTCTCTCCTTCTCCCTCCCTCCCTCTAAAAATCAATAAAAACATATCCTCAGGTGAGGATTAAAAAAGGGCACCTTGAATGTACATATCCCTGCCATAATGTGTCATGACTAAATGTTTGCTTTTTAGCCTCCCCCACCAGGCTTTGAGCTCCCATAGGGCAGAAATCAAGTCATTTATTTATTCATGCCTGTGTCATTCACTTGTTCAGCAAATATGCATTGACTTCCATTGTATACAGGCTTGGTGCTGCATGCTGAGTGTGCAGTGGTGATAGGTGTGCTTCTCCTCCCTCCCAGCTGTCCTGCAAGGCTTCTTTCTGCTTGTGTCACCTGGGTGTGCATCTGAACTGCTGCTCTCTGGCATGGCTGTTTATTGGAAAGCTTTCCTTGAATTAGACCTGCACCCCCAACTAGACTGTAAGCTCTTTAGAGACATCATCTTAAATACATTGGCCCATTGCTTGGCTCCATCCCCAAGGGGAAGGTCAGCGTGACACAAAATGTCACACTATACAAGGCCCTGGAATCCATGTTAAAAGATGTGGCTTTTATCCTGGTTGCAATTAAGAGATTCCAGAGGAGTTTTGAGCAGGAGGTGACATGATGTACATTTGCAAAGATTACCCTGGCTGCTGTGGTGAATGGTGTGGGGGAGGGAGTAGAGATGAGGAAACCAATTTGGAACCTATTGCATAATCCAGACTGGAGGTAATGGTGATTTGGTGTGGGATAATAGAAGAGAAGTGGGGTGAATTATAAATGTATTTTGAACATGGAAGCCAGGGGTCTTGATAATGGATCTGAAGTGAAAGTTAAGTGAGGAGGAAGAGGAAGAAGAGAAATCAAGGTTAACTCTTTGGATATGACTTAAGCAACTGGGTGAATGAACA